CTTGAGCAAGGTTATTGTGAGTACAGAGTGTGTTAGCAGTTCCTAAGAGGGCCTTCACTACAACAAGGATGGTAGAGTGCAGGGGCTCTGCGCACCCCAATCCTGGTTCTGTTCTTTACAAGCTGCGTGGCTTGGGCAAGTTATTTCATCTCTCTGTGCCTCGGGTACTTCATCTATAAAATGGGGGTCATAAAATCTAGGGTGGTTGTAAGGGTTAAATGAGGTAATGCATGTACAACACTTAGCATAATGCCTGGCCCATGTTAACCTCTCTGTAAATTTTAACCAATAAAAAACAAACCAAACCAAACCCAAGAGCAATGGAATTGTGAGCAGACTAAGAGGAAAGTGGGAACTGAGGACAGTGGGGCTGATGATTAAACTGAATTTGAAGTTATTTTTTATTTTCTCTGTGATCTGGTTTCTGACTTAATGAAGTTGCCTAGAGGTGGGAGGGAGAAGAGAGAGGAAATCAAAACTGGCTTTGCAGGCACTGACTGGAGCCCACAGGTAAATACAGAATCAGCAGACAAAATACCTAGTATCTAGGAATCACTGCAGTTGCGCACAACAACCTCCTACTGGGACAACCTGCTCACTTGGAGGGAAATTGTCCCACTGAGAAAGAGGACAACACAGATGGCATGGAAACAGCATTCTGAGGTGGCATTTTCATTTTGAAGTTGCCAACTACGCCAGTTCGCTCCAGTGACCCCCTCCAAATTGTTTTTGAACAAAAAGCAGACCCAGATGTAATTGTTCACATATAGAGATGAGTCAAACACAGGAAGAATGCAACTTAAGTCATATGCATAGCACAAGTAAAAAAAAAAGAGACATGTATTAAAGAATACTTAAGAAAAATACTTCACTCTCAAAGAATTTAAAAAGAACCCATGATTCCTTGCAAAAGAACTTCAGGAGGAGATATGAAAGATCAGAGAAGAAGATGACATAAAATGGCATCAACCAGGAAAGAAATGAAATGTAACACTGAAACCATTTTGGAAATGAAAATCACAATAGAAGCAGTAAAAAAGTATAGATATGTCTGAAAAAGGAATCAATGACTTGGAAGAATAGGCTAGAGAAAATATAGAGGGCAGCGGCCAAGAGAAGACAAGACAATGATCAGAGATGAAAGATACGAGAGATGACTCAGAAAATATGGCACCCATCAACCTTCTTGGAAAAGTTACTTGCAAAATCTAGACAATCAAGGGGGCTGGCCCCGTGGCTGAATGGTTAAGTTCGCACGCTCCGCTGCAGGCGGCCCAGTGTTTCGTTGGTTCGAATCCTGGGCGCGGACATGGCACTGCTCATCAAACCACGCTGAGGCAGCGTCCCACATACCACAACTAGAAGGACCTACAACGAAGAATATACAACTATGTACCGGGGGGCTTTGGGGAGAAAAAGGAAAAAAAATAAAATCTTTAAAAAAAAAAAAATCTAGACAATCAAAAGACAGTTCCAGATGAATTCAAGAATGGGAAAGACATTGCCTTAATGGATTGTTGGTGAACAATGAATCCCCTTAAATACCAAACTAAGGTAAACGATAGCAAGAATTATCATTACAGAGCAGAATGAGTTGCAGGGTTGACACTGTTGATGTAAACAATCAATCAGGTGGTCAAGGAAGGCGAGCTGGGCCAGTGGGCCTTCGCTGGAGCAGCCACCGAGGTCAGTTTGGCATTATTCCTGCCTGTAGCTGTGCATCTGGCTCTGTGATCTGCCCAGAGATTCGGTGAGCTTCTCTCCAAAACATTATTTTTCTGCTTAAATTAGCTAGAGTGGATTCTGTTCTCTGTCGTTAAGACTGACTGATAAACCATTCAAATAAAATTTAAGAAAAATAATGTATGTGGTCAAAGTCGGAGTTTGAGGGGAAACCAGTGCTTACACCCAGTTGTAAAATGTTGTTCCAACTTTTTAAAAGGGCAATTTGGCAATGTTGATTAAAATTTTAAACATAAATCCCAGAAGTTGTACTTCTAGGAACTTATCTTAAGGAGTTATCTTCTAAGGAGCTCACATTCTGGGGTGGAAGGGTGGTGGGAAAACAGACAGTAAAGAAGGTAAACACTTAAACGATACAGTATGTTAAAAGGTGAAAAGTGCTAGGGCTGGCCCCATGGCCGAGTGCTTAAGTTCGCGCGCTCTGCTGCAGGCAGCCCAGTGTTTCGTTGGTTCGAATCCTGGGTGCAGACATGGCACTGCTCATCAAACCACGCTGAGGCAGTGTCCCACATGCCACAACTAGAAGGACCCACAACGAAGAGTATACAACTATGTATGGGGGGCTTTGGGGAGAAAAAAAGGAAAAAAATAAAATCTTAAAAAAAAAAAAAAGGTGAAAAGTCCTTAGGAGAAAGGAGAAAGCAAGGAAGGGGACCAGGAGGTATCAGGTACTTTGTAATTTGTGATAAATGGTCAGAGAAGACTCTCATCCGAGAGGTGAAGGATTAGGTCATGTGGTATTTGGAAGAAGAGAGTTCCAAAAAGAGGAGACAGCAAGTGGAAAGGGCCTGAGGCAGAGGCCTACTAGCACATTGAAAAAAAACCCCAGCAAGACAGCTAGTGTGGCTGAGCAGAGAATGGAGTATGGAAGGAGGTGGCTCAGAGGGGTAATGTCAATGGGGGCAGACAACTATAGCTTTATAGGCCATTGTAAGGACTTTGGTTTTTACTCTGAACGAGAGGGAAGCCACTGGAAAGTTCTGAGCAGAGACGGATAATACTGGACCTACATTTTAACATGACTATTTCAGCTGTTGCCTTACAGAGGGGTTGAAGGAGGGCAAGGGCAAATACGGGAAGCCATTCAGGAGGCAATGATCTAGTCAAGAGATGGATGGTGGCTTGAAAGCACGGGGAAGCAGTGGAGTGGGGAGAAGTGCTCAGATTACACGAATGGGCAAAAGTGTAGGAACAAAGATGTTCAAGGTAATGTTGTTTGTAACTGAGAGAAACTAGAAATAACTGAAATGTCCATTAATAGAAGGCGGGTTAAATAAACTATGATACAGACTTCTTACTTAAAAACTCTTGTAGTGATCAAAAGCAAGTATTATTTTTTAAATTAAAAATCTAAGTGAATAATAGTAATTTTTAATGCTATTCAATTTCAGCAAAGAAGGATATGCTGTAGTTTTAACAAAAGCATGTTTTTGGACCATTAAAATATCTTGTTTGGTAATTAAAAATGCAAACCTAGAAGCACTGAAATTAGAGTGTCTTATTTAAGAAAAAGGTATGAGTCAAACAGACATATGCACCTGTACCTGTTAAACTAGTGTTCCAGTAATTCAGGATTGGTCACTACGAAACATGTGCTTCTATTCTTTTCAACATTTTTAGTAGAGCAGATATAGTCTAGGAAATGAGGAAACAAGACGCTAGGCGAGTCGTGGTCTTTACTGAAACTTTAAGATTGACTTTGCTGTTACAAAGCATCTAAGATCTGAATAGGCAAAGAGATTAGTCTAAAGGGTGACAGTAGGAAGTGGATATGTGGTTCTGAATCTCCATATTGGCCCGGTGTCCATGTGGTGGAGGCTAAGAGCTGTTAGATAAGAATTATCTCACTGATCATTTATTCGTCACTCACCATATGCCATGCACTGTGTCCTGTGTTTTTATGATGACTTCTAATTTTACAACACATAATCTAACCTCACAAATTTGCCCAAGGTCATTAGCTAAATGAACGGAAGAGCTGAAACTCATACTCGGATTGTCTCATGCCAAAACCCACCCTCTTTCTGCTGTAACACTCTGTATTAGTTAGGGTTGGCTAGGCTGATTTTTAAGGCTTTTCTTTGGAAAGAATGGTGTATCCATTAGGATTGCATTCAGTTGCTTGTAACAAACCCTGACCGAGAGTGCTTTAAAGTAAGGGGATGAGTTTTCTCACGTAAGAAGTCTGGAGCTAGGCAGTTTGTGTAGGTACTGCTCCTCCTTTTCTCTTGTGTGTTGCTCTGCGGTCATAAAGCGGCTGCGCCCTCCACCCTCACAGCAACATCGCTGCCAAGAAAACAGAAGGGGAATAGCAATGGCGTTGGCATCAAGAAAGCAAAGACCTTCTCAGGACTCTCCAGGCAAGTGCTTCCTGCATCTCATTGGCCGGAATCGAGTCATGTGACTGCCCTGCAAGGCCCCCTGGGAAGGTGAGCATTTTAGCTCAGCACATTGCCTCCGTGAACAAGATGTGGGCTCTCTTAGGAAGAAGGCCCCTACAGCGGCCTCTGAGACAGGGTTCGCCTTGGGAAGGAGTCTGGTGTGCACAACCATATGCTCCCCAATCTTCTCCAGACAGGAGGGGTCCGAGGGCAGTTGCTGACACAGGCTTTGGGAATGGAGGGAGAACAGGGGGCACTTGGGGATACTTGGGGATGCTGGGAGCATTTGAGGACAAATTCAGCCTGCTGGATCGGCCTGGAAAGAGGCATCAAGGGTGCAGGCTGGCTCCTCAGAGTCACCTCCTCCCAGCCCAAATATATTTGTTATAACATAACAATTATCACTCAAATATTTGTTGAATAAATCTAACAAATTAGCACTGTTGACGCCAAAAAGACAATGCAATGTAAGTACGCTTTTGCAAATGTGCTATTTGCAGAATTTTATTTAAAAAACTGAATTCATAGTGCACTACAGGCGGTTGCTCAGTGGCATGCACGTTTCAAGTTCTGTCACCCTGTATATACCCTCATCTGGAGACAACCGCCAATGGCCCCTTGTCCACCCCGCTGGGGAGAAGGGAGCTCCTCGGGCCAGGGTCTCACTAAGCGCCCGGCGGCCCCCGCTCCCGCACCCTCCACCTCGCACCCCCGGGGCATCCCGTCTGCCAGCCTCGAGCCCAGCCCCTCTCCCGGGGCCAGAGGTGGCGGCCGCCGTGGCCTCTCCCCGCCCCACTGGTAGCGAAAAGCTGCCCGGCGCCCACGCCCGCACTTCCTGGTCGGAGCGGGCCCGGGGCGGGGCTCGCCGCCCCCACCCACCTCCCGGGTGCAAGCGGGCGCTCCGGCCCTCCTCGGCGGTTCCTGGGGCCGGGCGGCAGGTGCCCGGGCGGCGACCTCGCCGCGAGGCTGCTGGCACGCCCAGCGCCGGGGAGGCGGAGCCGAGCCGGGAGCCGCGGCGCTCGGTGAGTGCGGTCCGGCGCCGGGCTGCTCGGCGCCCGGTTTCCCGGCGGGCGTTGTGCGCGTCGGGGCGGAGCGCAGCTTCCCTTGCCGGGGTCCAGAAGCTGCCCAGAAGCGGGGGTCTCCTGGGACCGGGGAGATCCTGGGGCGGGGCGGGGCCTTGGCTGGAAGCCGCAGACGCCCGAGCCTGAGCTCTTCGGCTGCCGGCTATCGCGTAGCCGTCGTGCCTGGGGTCTGTCGTGAGCTTGGGGACCGAGGGATGGAACCTGGTGGCCTGGGTTGGGAGAATACTCACACCGAGACCCTCGCACCCTGCTTCCAGGGGCGGCAGCTCTTAAACATTGTAAAACAGGGGCTGTTATAGACATGGGTGTATGTAACTTGCACTCTCCTCCCTGGCACACACAGGTGGGCGTATACAGTGACGTACACACATGCAGGTGTATTCGTTGGGGCAGACTTGGCGTCCCCTGTCCTGGCCCTCGGGCGTTGGGGACGGCGCCCGGCCGCGCGCCGGGCACTGGGATTAAGCCCCAGGGCTTTGCGGGCTGTTGGTTCCCGGAGACCGTGGAGTTCCGGTTGGTTCCTCTGTGGCCAGACTGGCTGGCTCAGAATTCTCTCTAGATAACCCGGGACCGCCCTCCGGAACTCGTTGGCTGGAGCTCTTTTTCTCACCTGGGCAGGTGGCCTCGGTAGGTGGCTGGGGGCCCGCCCGCCGCATTCGGACCGCGAGGACTCGGCGGCGGAGGAACGTCGGGCGGGGAGGAAGCGCGCGCGCTGCGCCCCCACCTTGTGGAAGCGCCTGGGGTAAGCGCGGTGTTGATCAAGCCGCTGGGAAAACCCGCAAGATCGGAGTTGCAAAGGACGCGTGAGTGAGTGTGTGCCTCTCCGAATTGCTAACGGCTTCAGCTCAAATCGTTTCAGGTGTGCTTTGCAGATATTTTTTAAACTTATTTAATTATAAAAACGACTAATTTGTATATTATTTTTTCAACCGTCTATAAGACTGGAGTTTCTTTGTGGTATCCCCAGGATAGAATTATTGGGAACTGCCGGTGGGGATTAGCCTGGCTACTGTGCGAATCACAGGAACAGAGAAGCTGTGGTTTTTAAAGAGACAGAACGCGGCAATGTAATGTGTGATCCTCGGTTGGATCCCGATTTGAAGAAACGTTTTTAAAAAATTGAGCCGATAGAGGAAATCTGTAACTGGTTATTTGATAGTATTAAGGATATTAGTTTTGTTTAGTCACTTTTGGTAATGGTAGCATTACAGTTTTTTTTTAAAACTCTCATCTGTTAGAAATACGTACTGAAGTTGAAATATAGGTTATGGATTTGCTTCAAAATAATCCAGTTTTGGGGAGCGCCGTTAGTTGATAAGAGAGGGGGAACAGATGGGAGGAGACTGGCTGTGAGTTGTTAATCGTGGAAGCTGGATGAAGAGTGTGGGGGTACGGAGTTCCTTACACGATTGTCTCTACTTTTGAGTGTTTGGCATTTCCCTTTAAAAGTAACACCATCATCACCACCTCCTGGGGAGCTTTTGTGCAGAAGGTCGGTTGGGAAGGCACCGCTAGTGATTCCAAATCCAGGGCCTTACACAGACCCTCACTCTTTGTAAATTGGGTGTAAAGGCTGCCTCTCCAGACTCAGGAAAAGTCTTCTTTTCTCTCTCCTGGGGTTGCAGCTTTATTTTGCTCAGAAGGCAGAGGGTGTTTGCTGAGTGTGACAGAGCTGAGCGGATCAAGTTGATGCAGGTGGATGCTGGGTCAGCTTTTTATATACAAAGGGTATTAGCCGGCCTGGGGGTTGAGTTGTCTTCAAACAGACAGGTTGTGCAAAATGTGTTTCAGTTTTTCTGAACTGCCGAAATCCTTTCCAACTTATGCTCATCAAAAAACAGAGCTCAGAGTAGTGAACACATCATATACACCTAGGATTTGGGTACACTTCTGGAAGCACTGTATACATCAGTAAAAAGTGTGCATTATAAAAACAAACGACACTGTGAGTGGAGCTCTGCTTCTTTGCTGAAAGAGAGTTGAGCTGTGTGTGTTGCCCTTCTCATGTCCTGACCTTGTTTGCTTCAGGCATCATGAGTGTAAATATTTAGAAAAGAACTGACTACTAACAAAATTCTGCACTGTTCTTTTCCTTTCCAAGGACACTGCTTTGAAGAGGAGAGACTGGGGGAGTGATACCTATATATTGATCCAACTTGCTTGGTTTTTCCCCTCTGGATTTATTGTATAATTCCTATGCATTCTGTGATGCTTGACTAGTAATTTGGAAAAGCGATGATGGTTTGAGGGAGCTATTAAAGCTCAGTGGAAGGAGGAAGGGGAGGCATACTGCTGAAAGATAAACCCACATTTTTTAGTAGCTTCAGTGGAGCTGATTTTAATGCGTCTTTGCTTTTAAGAGGAAACAAGCCAAATCAGTGACATCTGGGATAGTTGAAAGTTGAAGTGTTAGATGAATCCCCTCAGCCTAGACCTTGCCCATGTAGATTTGCTAGTGTAAAAGAAGTTATGAAGATGCTTTGTCAGATTCAGTTCAGAAAATGCAAGAGTATGTCCCAGCTTTGTCACAGTCTATGGAAAAATGAGAGAACCAGCAAAAAGCCCCTCACAGTTGGAAAATCTAGTGAATTCAGGATGGTTCTTACATGAAGTCGCTTGGTTTGTGGTTCAGTTTTCTTTGTCTGGATAAAAGAAATATGTAACTGCTAAAAGTGTCTTTATTTTCTATCTCAGTTCTCTAAAACAAGAGCATGGAGGGAGAAAACTTGCTGGGCCCTTTAGTGACCAGGCAGTGACCTCACGTTGACTCTCCTCTGTGTGAGGATGGTTGAACTGGACTCTGAAGTGTTGATTGCTAATAGCCATTTTAAGGAATTACCACACATGGGACACCATCTTCTCCCCGCATCACGTTGTTGAAGGGTATAAACACATTAGAAAAGCAAATGACTGCTTTGTTGGCCTAAAAATGAAAGGTAAGTGTGTTGGCGGTCAGGTCAATAATACTCTTTTAGTTTGTTAAGTACTTTGCTTTTATCTCCATCACTTCACCCCATCCTGTGAGGTGGAACAGCGGTGCTGGAGGATTATTTTAGTTTTTAACAAGTGAGAACTTTGCAATTAAAGGAACTAAGACTTTTCAAGATGCTAGAGATGTGGGGGCAGGAAATTTAACGTTTATTAAGATTTCGTAGTAGTCTTCACACACATATCGTGTTTGTAATTCTCATAAATCTCTTCAAGTTGGGTATTATCAGCCTATTTTGCAGATGGAATTGTAGCTAAGAGAGGTTTAATAGTGCACTCGAGGTCTTGTACCCAATAAAAGTAGAGCCAGGATTCAAATTCTTGTTGGATCTTAGAATTTACTTTGTTTCAGCCTCTGTACTGTGCCTCACTACCTTTAGCAGACAGCAGAGCTACACACCCTGGAGTTGGTTAGTTGGTCTAGGCAAGCTGGCTTTTTACCACACTCGACTTGCCTAGTTAGAAACTGGGGGCATGGGCCACATCCAACCCACAGAGATGTCTTATCAGGCCAGCATAGAGTTAAAAAGAAAACCAACGTTGAACACTGGGAGACTTCAAACGTTCTGACTCCCAAGAATTCCCAAAGGTAGCGCTAGAGCAGCCTTCTCTCCAGAGAAGGGTAGGGCACTCCAGTTCCCCCTGGTCCCCATGACTCCCTAAAGTGCCCCCCACTGTTGAGATGGGGGCCATCGCACTGGTCCTGTTGTTTCTCTTACAGCAAGGGGTCTTTCCACATGTGTGTCTCTCCACAGTGGGATAATGAAAGATAGGTTGGGACGCTCTTGTCCCAAGAAAAATGGGAAAGAGCGTATTCCTTCGAGGGAATGAAGAAAGGAATGAAGTTCTTGTGTCTACTAAGCAGGGCTTCTATGTCAGAAAAATGGCAGGTATGTCGTCGTTGTTCTCACACCGGCCTCCTTGACTCATTCACACACACCTTTAGAGTTTGCTGCCCCTGCGATACAGGAAGATGGAGTCTGAGTGTGGGCAGCTTGCCGCGGGGGAGAGGAATGTCTCCAAAATCCCAAACCGCGGACTCTGTGAGTGGGGGAATGGGTCCCTTGTGCCGGGGGGGTTGCCAGGGTGTGCTGCGGGGATGGGGCACCCGGAAGCCCTCCCCCTTCAGGCAGCCTGACGTCGGGGTCTGTATGGACGCTGAGCTTGTGCCTTGGCTCCCTGGCGCTGCTCCGGGGCCCCCGCTCCCCCGCCCCTCCCCCCTCCGGTGGGGACAGTCTGCCCCGCACACGGCCTGGGCCCCAGCCGAGAGCTCTGAGCGCTGAGGACCTGAGGCGCCCGGAGCCGGCCCCTGAGAGATTTCTGTGCCCCATCTCCTCCTCTTGAAACTTTCGGGTGACGGTCCCGGGACGGCCGTTGTCCCCTCTATCTGGATCTGGAGCTTCATTGCGGCTGAAGCTTCGATTTAGATCTTTGTTTCCTTCGCCTGAATTGTGAGTGTTCGCAGCTCTGTGTGTGTGTGGTGTGGTGAGATGAAGAAAGGGAAGAGGAAATGGCCCGAATGGACCCTTGTGGTCCACGACGTGGTGGTGAGGGCCCGTCCGGCGCTGTTTCGAGGCCTGTGTCCCTAGAGCGCTCAGTCCGGCGACCGTGTGCGGGCGCGGGGGGAGAGCGCAGGCGGCCTGAGGAGCCGGAGGGTTCCGTCAGCGCGTGGCCGGCGGGCGGGCTCGGGACTCGCTCGGCCCTGCAGCCCGGCCGAGGCAGGCTCACCCTGCGCGTGGCCTCGAGCCGTGTGGCCGCATTCATTTCTGGCTCTCCCACCACCTGCCGCTGGCTTCGCGCTGTTTCATCAACTGCTCTGCGCCCCCAGTCTCCCCCGCTTCCCATGGAAGTCGTGACACGGCCCCCTCGGCAGGCCGCGCGGGAGAGTGAGGCCTGCGGCTCCCCGGGGGCCTCTCACGGATGCTCGGAGCGCCTGCCACCTTCCCTCGGCCTTTATTTGGGCGATGTGCCCCGAACTTGGCGGAGGAAGGCAGCGGCGTAGCCAGGCCCCCAGCCCTGACCCCCCGTGTCACAGGGAGCCGGGCCGGCCGCCCTCTGGCCGCAGGGCTTCGGCCCTGTTGCTTGGGAGTCAAAGTCCACAGTGACTGTGGCGAGGACGTGGAATGCCCCGGGGTGCCGTGTGGGGACAGATGCCACCGTGTGTGGAAGAGCAGGCTGGCGTCACGGGGAATGGGTCAGCTCAGGAGACCCTGCCACCGCTGGTGGCCACTGGGTCCTGTTGCGTCCGCCGCGCGTGTGTCGGCCGGCGTAGGCAGACCTCACAGGAGCGCTGAGGGGCCGACGCCTTCGAGCCGGCGCAGGCGCAGTGAGGGACGAGGCCGACTTACCCTTGGTGGTGAGATCCTAGGACAGGAGCACCGGCAGGTTTACTATTTAACTTGGAGAAATAATAAAGATACTATTAACTAATATTTAAATGGCATTTTATAGTTTTTAGAAGGGCTGTCTAATTTGATCTTCAACCCCTGTGCAGGTTTGTGTGCATTTCTTTCTGTTGCCTTTTGCTGCCTGTCAGGAGAGGTACAAAAGTAAACTGAGGCTCAGGCCAGAAATGAGCCCAGAAATGGGAACATGGGACTGGCCTATTCATTCTACTTTATCAGGGAAGGTTCTTATTCCTTCTGTCCTTAGGGTATCCTAGGGAGCGGTGACATCCTGGAGAGGGCAGGGGAGATGTTGATAGCTGAGGTGTTCCCAGGATGCTGAAAGCATCCATTGTGTCCAGGGAGGCTGAATGGAGGGGCAGCGTGTCCCCTCCTGGTCCCGCAGAGCATCTGAGGCGGAGGTCGCCCCTGTTAACAGCTGCTGCCCAGACGCAGTCATGGGAGTGCCAGAGGGGCTCAGGGAGGAGAGGCGTGGGCTCTGGGACTCCTTCCTCCTCAAACCCCAGGTCCAGACCTTCGCTAAACCCGTTTCCTTTCTCCTCCTCCTATTTCTCCTCGTCCACTCCCAGCCAGGTGTTCCAGTGAGACGTGGAACAGTCCCCCGCCCCCTGGCCCCATCTCCCAGCTAATAGGCCCCCAAGCCCGCTCCCTTCTAACCAGCCCTTCAGCGGGTTCTCACTGCCTCTGCCATTTTCCGCTGCTGTCCTTGCCTCCTAGTCCTGCACAGGCTCCTTCCCTCCTTTCAACTTTACTTTATTCTGGAAAGTTGAAGGGAAAAAAATCATCTCTGACTGCACCATCCGAGGACCCAAAGACGTTAACATTTTGGCATATTTTATTCCAGTTTTGTTTTGGTTTGATTTGCTTTTTTTAAAAAAATAAACTTAATAAGTTTTTACATTTTTATAAACATTTAATTCACTTTTGTGTAAGCATTTTAACAAAATTGTCATACTGTGATTAAAATTTATCATTGCATTTTCCATATCTTTACGAATATCATTTATAATAATTGCATGCTATTTCAGCCCTTTTTAGCCGTTCTCTTAAGATTAGAGAACTAGGTGCTTGCTCATTTTTTGATATTGTAAATCATTCTAAGTTGAATGTACATAAACCTTTGGTTCTGTAATATAGTAAGACATAAATCTATTTGGTCTTCATCCCTGCTTCCTAGTACAGAGCTCCCGGTGAGAGGAGCATCTTTTGTTATTCATAATAACCCTCTTTCAGCCTTACCTGACTTTATGCTAATAAAGTGATTCTTGGAGGACGGGATGTGATTACCAGAGGGACCAACCACCTGATTAGAGTGTTGAAACTTTCAGCCTCCCACCACTCCAGGGAGGAGAGGACTGGAGATTGAGTTAATCACGCATGGCCAATGATTTAATCAATCATGCCTATGTAATGGAACCTCCATAAAAACCCTCAACAATGGGGTTTGGAGAGCTTCCAGGTTGGTAAACACAGCAAGGTGCTGGGAGGGTGGTGTGCCCCTTCCCCATACCTTGCCCTATGCATCTCCTCCATTTGGCTGTTCCTGAGTTGTATCCTTTATAATAAATCGGTTATAGGAAGTAAAGTGTTTCTCTGAGTTCTGTGAAGTGTTAAAGCAAATTATTGAACCTGAAGAGGAAGTTGTGGGAACACCTGATTTATAGCCATTGGTGGAAGTGACAACCTGAGACTCATGACTGGCATCCGAAGTGGGAAGTCGTCTTGTGGGACTGAGCCCTTAACCTATGGGGTCTTCACCAACTCTGGGTAGTTAATGTCAGAATTGCTTGGTGTGGAAAAACCCACATATTTGGTGTCAGAGGTGTTGTGAGTAGAGACAGTGTTTTTACCTTTCCATTCCATTTCACATTATTTGGGATGGATTTTCCTATAAGAATTACTACTATAATTACTGAGTCAAAGTTTTGAATAGTGAAAAGCTTTCTTTCTGATTACGAAAGCAATAAATTTTCATTGTGGAAAATCTGGTAAATGAAGGAGTTCAGAACAGGCCTCCCCAAAATGTACCACTTTGGCATGTGGAATATTTTGAGCTAAAGGCAATCCCGACTCTGTGGGCTCAACTTTTAGCTCTCCCTTAAAGAATTTAAATTGGAGGCCTTCCCATAAAAAGAGTTATTACCAGAAATAAATTTTTATGACATATCTTAATGGCAGGGCAAACCTCTAATTACCAAATATCTGCTGTTCTTATCATCCTGTGAATTACCCTCTTGCCCTCTGAAGCCTCGGGTTCCTATCCCATTCCTTAGCTCAAGATGTCATATATATCTCATTTTACCTTTTTGTTTCTGAACCTCTTGTGTATGTGGGGTCCCTGTATGTATGCAATTACATTTGATTTTCTCCTATTAATCTGTCTCATGTCAATTTAATTTTTAGACCAGCCTGAAGAAACTAGAAGGGTAGAGGAAAATTTCTTCCTCCCCCACCGAATAAAAAGACCAACCAACCAGAGATCATCACTGTGGGTGCAGCTTGGCTCCTCCAGGGTCAGGGCTGTCTGCAGCCCTGCTATTCCA